ACTCAAAGTTCAAATTTATTTTTTTTCGAATTTTGTGACCCACTCAAACTTTAAGATTTCACATTTATAAATAATTGGGACTCTTTGTATCAAAAATAAAGGATCTCATTGTATACAATCCCAAAAGAAAAAAGGAGTTATGAGAACTTATATTTTAACCCTTCTCTACAATCTTGGGCCATTAGTTTTGTGAAGAACATGGATTGTGAGGTTTTTTTAGAAAGGAAACCGTTTGAATAAGTTGTCAAATTCATATCATTGGAGTAAGCTGCACCCCAAAAATCCTCTAGAAGAGAATATATATTAATTTTTTTTTTCCAATTTGATTATCTTGACCTTAAAGTATTTAGAGATCAAGAACAAAATGATCACAAGTCATAAAAATAATGCATCTTGTGACAAATTATTTAGATTATCTATTTTAATATTTTATAAGTGTATATAGACCTACTCGATTTGTACAATTATTTAGATTTCAAAATTTATAATTAGGGATGAAAATAGATTTTCAAGCCATAATGTTTCCAACACTAGAACTACATTCTCAAGCAAATTTTAGATATGTACCTTAAATTTGTACTTATGTTTTCTCCATCGTACTTTTTTCTCTCTCTAAGATATATATAAATATGAAACACTCAAAAGAAAGGACATGGTTAGGCCTCCAAGCCCACAAATGCGGGCTTAGCAATAAATATATTTCTTAAATATAATTTGATCTGAATTTTTAGAAAATATATAATATTTAACATGGAGATCATAAATATAAAAAATTAAAATAAATTTTGAAAACTAAAAATGATAATTATATTAAAAAAATATTTGAACTATTAATTACAATTGTTTTTAAATAGACGACCTATTTTCATCATTTTTAAGATGGATGCTCTCAAGACCCCATATTGTACAAATACAGTCCACCTCGAAACAATTGTTTCCAAAAAAAAGAAAACAGAAAAAGAAAAGAAGTGTGCATACGTGGGGATGGCTCGTGCAAAATGTGACAGACAAAGGAGTCGTAGCGTGAGCGGAAGATCATCACCAACGGAATACGCTACTCTCTCTCTCTAGAATTGGCTGCAACGGAATACGCCACTCTCTCTCTCTAGAATTGGCTTTAAAGATATTTGCTGGTAGCTGAAAGCTTCCCTTAACTGATCTCTCCTTTCCACCGTCAAACGTTCCTTTCAAGGGTGTCTTTTCCTCCAACTTTCCAAAATGTGAATATCACATTTTATGTTTCTTCTCATTATCTCACCACATCCTCATCATGGACTTCTCTACACAATAATATGCAAAACCCAACATCATTAGTCGTCATGTATGCATTGTATCAATCAAGGGAAAAGTATCTCCAATGGTTGAGATCTCATATGGCCATCTCCAATGGCCCAAAATTAATCTGGTATTTTATTATTATTATTTATTGAAATAAGATACTTATATAAATTTTGGTTAAATAAGTTAATTATCTGAATTTTGTTGTGAATTTTTATGTATGAATAATAAAAATGATTAAAAAATAATTTAAATAAAAATTACCAAAATACATCTAAATTTATTAAAAAAATTTATTCAAATTTTTTATTTATTCAATCTTACTCATAAAAATGAAACTAAAACTAACATTTCACATTGATATTATTTTAAATAAAAAATAAAATTCATTATTGACCTTTGGATGAGCATAGTTCAATCTGGACTATTAAAAGATGCATGTGCACCTTTTTAAGCGTTCACATGACGCAATCCCAAACCAATTATCACTCTCACGTGCTTCTGCAATTGTATGCATGTAAGCATTCATGTACTAGGGGTGGCAGCTGGGTGGCTCGGCCCGGCCTTAAAAACTAAGGCCAAGGCTGCAAAAAGTGGCCCAAGGGTTGGGCCACTACGGCCCTAAGGCCGGCCTGGGCTTGAGCCTATGCCAAAATAGGGTTGAGTTGGTTTGGGCCATCCCGACTTTAATTTTTTTACCTTTTTTTTTCTTTCTTTAATTTTATTTTGCCCTGCTCCACCTTGGTAGGTCCATGGCTTCCTTGACCCGATTCGGGCCAAGGTGGGCCTAGGCCAGCCCTCAGGGGAATTGAGCAAGGCTAGGACATTATTTAGCCGAGCCAACGCTGGACAAGGCTTGGGCGGGCCCTCAGGGGAACATGACCGATGGCTAGCCCGGCCCGTTGCATGCCTTATGACTTTTAGAACTTGAAAATATGCTCCAAGCCCGTTACCTGCCGAATTGGAATTGGTACATGTTAGGCGATTTAGAGATGTTGGAATCACATAGATACAACCGAAAATAAAATAAAGGACAAGGAGAATCATCCAATTCCAAGGTTCCCAATAAGTGGATGGCCCCTTACTAGTTCGGGTTCAATCCGAGCGATCCGGATTCAAATTACCAAGATTTCAAAACTGCAAGTTGCCATAATAAATAAACTATGTGAAAACCAAATTTTCACGTCTGCAAGTTGCCATTATGCAATACACTATGCAAAATCATTGTTCATCGTGTCATCACAGTCCAATATATGATGAGTGGCATGAGAGTGAGAGGGGCTAAACAATAGGGGCCCTGTTCTGTTGGTTCCAACTATCCCCTAGTCACCATTCATCATGCAATTGGATGCGATGAAGTAAAGAACTACATATTGACGTTTATCCATTCCTTTCTATTCGATCATGCAAATATACAAGAACCGCTCGCAATGTTATATTAATGCCTTTATCTATGTTGCTAGGTGTCTATTGGGTAGTACTATACTTTCCCTAATGATACATACCCTTCTTTCGCATATTCACGACTTTGACCCTAGAGTAACATACAATACAAACGTCCCAACAACTTGTTCAGGTTGGGCGTGCCGACACTAATACTACCATGCAATCAATGTGACAGACCCAAACAATTTCACACAGGGAAGAGGTTTGTACAGGTGCCACCTTATTATGCTATTCAAGTAAGGTGCTCTTCTATATTTTGTCAGAAAGCATAGTATTAGTATCGGTAGCCTAATAATGGCTTGACCATCCATATTTAACCCTAATTATGAAATTTAAAATTCAAGAAGCTATGCAGATCGAGTATATCTATAAATATATAAAAATCTTGAAAATAGACGGTCTAGATAACTTGTTATGAGATGTTCTATTTTTAGGACTTGAATTTCATTTTTTCTTAATATCCGAACATCTTTAGAGTAAGAAGTCGAAAGTTTTTGAACTTCTTCAGAACACTCTTGTATACTGTATTTTTTATGTGTACCTTACTTCTATAGTATAAGCTGCAACTTTATATAAACTTTTTCTTTACATATTAAACGGTACTGTGAATTTTTTTATTAAACGTTTAAATGGTATTTTAATACTACTATGCGATCAATTTGACATAGTACCATTTCTACATACTAATCGTCATATCAAAGAAATAATAGCGTTGCTCACTTTATTGGCTGCCCATGTGAAACAACAATATCAAGTCACATATACTCATATATATAAAAACAAGTTCCTTTTTTTATAAACAAAAGCGTTTGTATAAGGTTGCAATATTACATTATGAGTTTGTTTGATAACTAGAAGCGCAAGTTCATGAACTGTAAATTGAAAATTTATGAAGAACAGTAAATTAGAGGTTATTTAAAAAGTTCTTAGTATTTATGTTTGATAACTTCATGAGAAGTTAAGAAGTTCCTGGTTTCTGTGTTTGATAACCTCCTGGGAAGTTAAAGGAGTTATGGGTATCTGTATTGGATTAATTTTAAATAGGCGAGATATAAAATGTTAAAATTGAGACTTAGATATTATTTATTTATTATTAATTTGTAGAATATTATTTTTGATATACAATATCAATTGAAAGTAAAGTATGTTGGATTGAGAGAGAGAGTGGGAAAGTTTTATTGATGACTGAGAGAAGCGTCCTAGAGAGAGATATATTTATACATCAATTGAAACAGATGTTGCAAAATAAACTTCATTGCACCTCAAAATTGAAGCAATCTATAGATAATGTCAAACACAACTTCAATTCAATATTGTATACCAAATCACTAGTTTCCTAATCGAATGTCTCAAAATAGAAATCAATATATTTTCTAAACTATTGTGAGTATATAATTTGTTGAGTCGTTTTACAAATATGCAATGGAATAGGTGTCTAAATTTCATAAGTAGCTTGGTTTTCTTGAGGGATAACTTGTAGGTTTCAATCGTAGGCATACCTCGTATGTCAAAAAATATAAATTCCTACTCATGTCAAATTGGTTCTACTAAGCTATATTCGAATATAAAAGTAACAATGTAAACTCTACAAAGTTAACAAAAATGCTAACAAGAGCCCATATGATCGAAGCTCGATGTCTCTCCTTCAATGAAACTTCACAATCTCATTAAAGAAAAAGAAAAAGAAAAAGAAACACAAAAGACCGCATGGTAAAGCATTATGTATTTATTAATTTTCTCTGTTGCATTTTCTAATATTTCATACTCGCATCAAGGAAAATAGCTGATATTTCATATACTCATCAAGGAAAATAGAGCAAATTTAGAGAGCTTTACTGGTAAACTTTAGTTTTGAGATCCAAGCAAATATTCATGTGGTATAGAACATATATCCCAAATCAAAAGGACAGGAAATCTGGCTTTCCCATCTTTGCTGTAGTTATTTTGACACATCATTTTGTGTTTTTTAAAATATCCATCTCAAAGATGGACCTTTGGAATGAAGGCAACAAAATTCTAAGAAAATTACAGTAAAAAGATGGACCTTTGGAATGAAGGCAACAAAATTCTATGAAAATTACAGTAAAAAGAAGCCAATAGAAATTCTCATGACTTTGCTTAATAGCACCCCAAGGCCTCGCTCAAAAGCCAAGTGAAGTACCCCAAATTTTGGGGCAAATAGCTCCGAATTAGGTTATGGATATCCAAATGACTTCTATTTGATCTTATCTCAGATCTAAGTAAATATTTATCTGCCTCTATCTCACTCTATCTCAGATCCAAGTAAATATTCATCTGCCTCGTTCTAAAGACCAATAAATGGGATCTTTAACAATCAACTGCTAAAGTGAGATATTTAACAATCAACTACTACTTGTGACTAGAACATATTTCTAAATAATGTTCTAAATAATGTGAGAGAGGCACAATGCCTTTATAAAATCTACAACTCACACTAATCCAACCATACTTAAACTCCCACTCTGATACCAATTACCAAAATAATAAGGATCTAAAACAAAAAATTTGGGATTCATGGGGGACTCATTCAAAAGCCCACACATTGTCCTTCATCACTACATCCTCTTCTTCATGAGAAAAATTATTTTCAATTCCAAATATCTTTCGGACATCTTCCACGCTCTAATCCTTGATGCGATCTGCGACCACCAATCATGTTCTATCAAGTAAATTCTTCACGTTCAGGTAATTTGTCACTTGCAAAAACGATAAATCGTAAATTAATCAATATAGAATAAATAGACACCCCCAGGGATGCTGAGAGAAGCATCATTTGTTCAGTGAAGTCAAGAGAATTCACAAAAACTTAGAATGTTCTGTTTCAAAAGAGACAGACAATAAGAAAACAATATGGAAAAAGCACAAATAACAATTCAAGAAATCGTCTTGAATTAAACTAAGAAAAAACAAAACTAAGCCAGAAAAAAATATTGTAACATATCAATGCAAGTTGAGAATAGCATAGAATATTGAATATAGTGGTAGTTTGCAATGGAGAAAGACGTACATGTATGACAAATTCAACTCAATGACTGACTCACCACAAACACCACGACAATATCAAGCTACCTTATATATATATAGAGTAATGATCCTATAGGATCCCACCCATGTGTGTAGGACCCTAAAGGATCACCATTAAAGTTGGCACGGATCTCTAGAAAAATTATCACATGGGTGTGAGACTTGACTTTTCTAGAGATTTGTGCCAACTTTAATGGTGATCCTTTAGGGGTCCTACACCTATGGGTGGGAGAGGGTCATATAGAATAATTTTTCATATATATATATATCACAAGATCAATCTCAATCTCATGGAAAGCTAAAACAGATGGAACGATGAGAAGTTGACATGACAATGATGGACAAATAATGAAAATTTTTCTACGAAATACAAAACATAAAATAGGAGTTCAAAATACACGCCCTTTACCCAGAAGCATCGCATGGACAAAAGCTTGAATTTATATAAAGAATGACTAGCCCCATAAAATCTTGAATTTATATAAAGAATGATTAGCCCCATAAAATGTTCACAATGTTAGATGAGAAACAAGTAAATATCAAACTAAAATGTCAAGAGAGTGAATATATAAATCATACAAATAAAAAAGAATTAAAAATAATTTGCAAAGAACTTGCTATAATAATCATCTAGCTCAGTAGCACAAAGAAGAAAATAATGCTGATAACACTAAATAAAGAAATCATAATCTAGGAAATAAATATTGAGAGCAGTAATTTCTTACAAGAACACAATAAATTCAGCACCAAAATAAATTATGAGCCCTAACCCTAAGAATATAATTCAATATTAGCAGAAAACATAACGTAGAGAAGAATAAAATAATGATAACAATAAATAAACAAATCACAATCTAGAGAAAGAGTAAAAAGTAGAAATAAAAAAAGATCGATTTAGTGTTTTTGTAGAGGATTCGAGGATCTTCAACAACAATAAATAAAACTAAAACATGAAAGAGATATTTCAATGACGACAGATTTTACAAGCTCTACACAGGTCCCTCTGTTAAGCAATGAAAATGCACGGATTTGAGCAAGAAAATTAAAATTACATTTAGGGCTTCTTTAGGGAATTTGAAGAGCTTCACCAAGAATAAAATATCATAAAAAATAACAAAGAAATGAGAGAGAAATATAAGCTTTGACATACAGATAAATGTGACATTCTCAATTTTACAATGTGATTGCATAGGCAAGTCAACACAAGTGACAATAAGCATGTAATGAAAAACAATACCCCATTATTGACAAGAAATTAATAAAAGCATAAAAAACAATGTACCACACAGCCGTGGCTATTCACAAATCACATGATACCAACTAGAGTGAGAATAAGGAATATCTATCTATGATAAAATTAAAAATGTAAAAGTTGAATCTTATGAATTTCTTGCAATAACACTATAAATTCAACATCAAAATAAATTAAGAACCCTAACCCTATAAATTTAATTCAATATTCTCATAAAACATAACACAGAGATGAATAAATTACTGGTAACACTAAATAAATAAATCGCAATCTAGAAATCACATACTGATAACAGTAATTTCAAATAATAACACTATAAATTCAGCACCAAAACAAATTATGAGCCCTAACCCTGTTAATTTAATTCAACATTCTTAAAAAACATAACATAGAGATGAAAACAATATTGATAACACTAAATAAAGAAATCACAATCTAGAAAACAAATACTGAGAACAATAATTTCTTACAATAACATAATAAATTCAGCACCAAAATAAATTATGAGCCCTAACCCTATGAATATAATTCAATATTATCAAAAAATATAACACAGAGAAGAATAAAATACTTATTACAGTAAATAAAGAAATCACAATCTAGAGAAAGAATAAAAAATAGAAATAAAAGATATCGATTTAGGTTTTTGTAGAGGATTCGAAGATCTTCATCAATAATAATAAATAAATAAATAAAACTAAGAAATGAAAGAGATATATCAAAGATGGCAGATTTTACAAGTTCTTCCCCGATCCCTCTGTTAAGCAATGAAAATGTAAGGATTTGAGTAAGAAAATGAAAAATAAATTTAGGGCTTCTTTAGGAGATTTGAAGAGCTTCAACAATAATAAAATATCATAAAAAATAACAAACAAATGATAGAGAAATCTAAGCTATGGCAATTTTTTTTTTTTTTTGGCTCTCAATAACCCTAAAAAACTGATAATACTGAATAAAAATAACGAATGGATAGGTATATACACCTTTTTTGAGTGATTGTGCTTCAATGGCGAGAAAAAAGAGCAATCGCCGATGATGACTTCAGGCTTCGCACAGTAGCATCAGCTTGTTGCAAGCGAGGAAGGAAAAAGAGAGTGGTAGGCGAGGAAGGAAGAAGAGAATGACAAGCGCACAGTAGCAGCAGCTGTTACAGGCGAGGAAGGAAGAAGAGAGTGGAAGACGAGAAAGAAGAAGAGTATAGCAGGCGAGCGACGCGAAGAGATGATTGAAAAAAAATTAGGGCAAGGCCTAATTTTTGTCGGGGGTAAGACTAATAAAAAGTTCCATTTTCAAGTTCCAGGGTTTACCGTGGAACTTTATTCAAGCCTTAAAATGGGGAACTTGAAAAGTAAAAAATAATTATCAAACTATCTTCCACTTTTTTATCAAACACATAACATGAATAGTAATAGGTAACTTCTCACTTCCAGGAACTCACTTCATGTTATCAAACACGCTCTACGGTAAAAAATCTAGTAGGAAAAAGTGTTCTAAAGTTGACAATATTCCAATTGATGGTCTAACTTTGATATATATATATATATATATATATATATA